TAGAAGTTTACCAGCGTTTCAGAGGACATTCACAAATAGAGTAGTGCAACGTTCCCATTTGATGAATCTATTTAGATTTATACAATTTGTGTTTAAATGAAACGTTTGGTACAATCTGTAGACTACAGTTAAATATTTGTCAGATGCGTATTCTATTACGAATTATTTTAAACACCGATATCGTTTAACGATTTTACAGTTAAATACAGTTCCTTAAATGCAGTTAAACGGGATTGTACACGTACCGTATATCCTCTATTTTAAGGCGCACTTTTATAACATTTTCAGTATTCCGAAATCGGGGTGGGTCTTACATTTGATGGCGTCTAAGAATCGATGTAGCAAATTTTCTCCTGAAATCTTCTACTTACATTTGATGGCGTCTTAAATTCGAGGCAAAAAGGTAATTTATAATTTATTTTTTGCTCCAGTTTTAAAATTTCTTACAACTCTAAATAAAGTTTTTCTCCACCCCGCTCGATATAACTAAAATTGTGTGATGATTGGACTTCATCCGCCTTAATTGTGAAGCTACTCATGTGTAACAATTGAATTCTTGAATGGTAAGATGGAATATCGGTCGTCCGGTTCATGAAATTCTCTGAAGATGGCAGGACAAGGTTGTTACACCTTTCAAAAAGTTGTAGTTTTAGACACCAGAGTGATGGTAGCTAGAGTATGAACTTCTGGCGGGAAGGTTCTGTTTTCCCTTCTCAGGCTCCAGTCACTTTACTGAGTGAAATCATTTCTTCATGGAACTGGATCAGTCGGCGTGTTTGGTAGAATTCTGTTCCGTTCTTCTGCATACTATTCCAGTCTGTTTACTCTCTTGCACAGAAATTTCAGTCTGTTACACTCTGTATTATTCTATTTTGCTTTACTGAGTTCTGTCCTATTTTGCTGCACTGTATTCTGTTCTGGTCCATTCCAGTCTTGTGTAGGTAACGAGGTAGAAGGAAAATATCGATTGTGGTCTTCCGAGAAGTGAAGTAGTGTAATTCCTCAGCAACATTGGTACATTGGTAACTTCCTGCATGACTACACAGCGACAGAACTCAGAATACCACACTCGACATGTCTCTACCGTGACAACCGAAGTTCTCAGTAGGTTAAATAACTTGTGACTACAGTGTGATCAGGAATTTGTGACTCTCTCGGCGGTAAGGATGTCAGTTGCTTCAGGATTGTGACAGCGCGAGGCATTATAAGTCGTATTCGGCATTTCAGAAGAACGTTTATCTTTACCTGTAGTGTGAAATATGGAAACGTTGGTTACCGCTATAAGATTACATGACATCACAACCCATAAGACCACTATCAGTTATATTTTTATGAAATTAATTAACTTCAAGATCAATGCAGTTATGCAGAATTCCAAAGAAAGCATTCGGAAAAGAAACTGTATTCAGATTCCAAGTAACATTTCCATTCTCGTTGGTCTGTTAGCTGTAGTTATATACAACTTACCCACATTCAGTGTATGGGCGTTAACAAATAGAAACGTGGTTAATAATAACCCGACTTTGATTAGAGAATAAATTATGTTCTGTGCCTCGTACCACACCCACAGCATCTTTTGTGCGTGTGTTCAACATTTCAGTGGCAAGTAAAAAAAAATTGAGTTCTTGTTGGACTCGTGTCTTAGGCATCCACTTTCATTCTTTGGTCAATGACCGGATAGTCTCAACAGCTTGTTGTTAGTGAAAGTACTTTCATGGGAAAAGAACTTGTCCCTCAAGCGGCAAGGTCAAGAACTAGCAATAACTGTTTCTTTTTCACACAAATTTCCATTACAGCTCAACCCTTTCTATATTATATTGACGTTGCAAATATGTTCATCGTTACGCGTTTCTTAGGAAATAAAATAAATATGTAAGGTTTGAGGTTTTCACAGCGGTCAGTATGAAGATTTCTGTCTTCTGGGTTGTTGCGCTGTGTAGTCTGGTCGATGTTAACCAACGTTTCAGAGGTCATACTACCTCCGTCATCAGGGCGATGAAGATTTCTGTCTTCTGGGTTGTTGCGCTGTGTAGTCTGGTCGATGTTAACCAACGTTTCAGAGGTCATACTACCTCCGTCATCAGGGCGATGAAGATTTCTGTCTTCTGGGTTGTTGCGCTGTGTAGTCTGGTCGATGTTAACCAACGTTTCAGAGGTCATACTACCTCCGTCATCAGGGCGATGAAGATTTCTGTCTTCTGGGTTGTTGCGCTGTGTAGTCTGGTCGATGTTAACCAACGTTTCAGAGGTCATACTACCTCCGTCATCAGGGCGATGAAGATTTCTGTCTTCTGGGTTGTTGCGCTGTGTAGTCTGGTCGATGTTAACCAACGTTTCAGAGGTCATACTACCTCCGTCATCAGGGCGATGAAGATTTCTGTCTTCTGGGTTGTTGCGCTGTGTAGTCTGGTCGATGTTAACCAACGTTTCAGAGGTCATACTACCTCCGTCATCAGGGCGATGAAGATTTCTGTCTTCTGGGTTGTTGCGCTGTGTAGTCTGGTCGATGTTAACCAACGTTTCAGAGGTCATACTACCTCCGTCATCAGGGCGATGAAGATTTCTGTCTTCTGGGTTGTTGCGCTGTGTAGTCTGGTCGATGTTAACCAACGTTTCAGAGGTCATACTACCTCCGTCATCAGGGCGATGAAGATTTCTGTCTTCTGGGTTGTTGCGCTGTGTAGTCTGGTCGATGTTAACCAACGTTTCAGAGGTCATACTACCTCCGTCATCAGGGCGATGAAGATTTCTGTCTTCTGGGTTGTTGCGCTGTGTAGTCTGGTCGATGTTAACCAACGTTTCAGAGGTCATACTACCTCCGTCATCAGGGCGATGAAGATTTCTGTCTTCTGGGTTGTTGCGCTGTGTAGTCTGGTCGATGTTAACCAACGTTTCAGAGGTCATACTACCTCCGTCATCAGGGCGATGAAGATTTCTGTCTTCTGGGTTGTTGCGCTGTGTAGTCTGGTCGATGTTAACCAACGTTTCAGAGGTCATACTACCTCCGTCATCAGGGCGATGAAGATTTCTGTCTTCTGGGTTGTTGCGCTGTGTAGTCTGGTCGATGTTAACCAACGTTTCAGAGGTCATACTACCTCCGTCATCAGGGCGATGAAGATTTCTGTCTTCTGGGTTGTTGCGCTGTGTAGTCTGGTCGATGTTAACCAACGTTTCAGAGGTCATACTACCTCCGTCATCAGGGCGATGAAGATTTCTGTCTTCTGGGTTGTTGCGCTGTGTAGTCTGGTCGATATTAACCAACGTTTCAGAGATCATACTGCCTCCGTCATCAGGGCGATTCATAACTTTTTAAGTACAAAGAACTGTGTTAATTTAATTGTTTCAGTATCAATAATAGCAACAACATAAAAAAAGTTCTATAATAGTAAAATGTCAATGATAAGTGCGTCAGTCTTAAATGAAGTAATGATTATATAGCTGGTAATACGGTGGTAGATCCTCCAAGCCTTGTTCTTCAAGGCACCTGGAATGTGAACAACCGATGATATCTGGCAGCATATTAAAACTCTTACGTAGCTGTCAATTCAACACGTACTGTCTATAACTCCCTGTTCTTCAAAGAACATTTGGACTGAAACCATTATAGATATCCTTGTAAGCAACTTAACGACGCTACATCAACTGCACAGACTATTGAGCTTCGAATGTGATTAGATGATGATACGCTTTTGATCAGAAGAAACTCTTAAGAAAGTGGACGTGTTTGCTTCGAGATATCAGTAGATAGAAGGTTAATAAGGGACTTGGCGAAGCCACGCTAATCTTTAGCACAAATATCCTGTTCCCCCGCTGAGATTCGAACCGGTTGTCCTCTGAATGCAATTCATTTAACCTGGTTAACACAACTACATTGGAATGAGTTTCAGATTGCAATAATTCTGAAACGTGATCCTAATATGTTATATCTGTTATTTTGGTACTAGAAATACAGGCTTACATACACGATAAGTTGGAAACAAGGGGAAGTTGCCCTTCTTTCATTTGACTGAAGTTTTAATTTTAAAATAAACTTACTAGTTAGTTTAATTTTAGCTCTAATCACGTCACTGCTTTTTTCATGGCCAATTTGAAATCTTGCGTTTAACCTCACCTCCATCACGGGCAATGTATTGACCATTTGCATTATTAATCACAAAGGTGCCGTAGCTGTTCCCTTTATGACCCTCCATCTGAGGGTTGCTGATCGAGGGAGATTTTCTGCTGTATATCTGCTAACTGGCTCTTCACAACGTTCCAGTCTCCAGCACTGGGTTCAACGTATCTCTGACTGCTCTGAAACAGTCTTGCGTCTTGACGCTTGTCTTCTTGAAGATATCCTTTTCTTTCGTTTCGCCCAACTGATCGTCTCGTCTTGGTAATAAACTTTCCTTCGTGGTTGCTAAATTTATTCCACTTCTCATGGCTGCTTCCCTTTAAACCACGTTCATGACTACGAATTTTACCGTAAATTAGTCGATTGAAATCAACCTCGTGTTCTTTCACAGCCTGCCAGTCCTCAGAGCTTGCGCCCGTTAAATGTGTGAGGAACCTTGCATGTTTGATTCCACCCCCGATACTTTTGCTACCTAATACAAGGTCTTCATGCCAGCGGCCGTGACCCTGGTCATGCCAGCCATTACTTATGTACCGGTCTCCATAGCCTGGTCCACCAGAGGTGTGGCCAACCACGTGTCCTGTCCAGTCATCCGTGTTCTGCAGCCCTTTCGACACACGCCAGCTGCCGGCACCCACGCTGTGGCCGGGATTCGGAAGGAGGTTGCTCATGTGGTGATGGTGAACGTGCTTCACGCTTGTAGGAACGTGAATTAGTACTTTCTTCCTGCAAGAAAATTAAAAAGGTGTTGCTGTAAGAGTATTTAGATTGTTTCTTCAATTCGTGATTCTGAGCTAAGCTAAAGAAGCTTATACTCGTCTACCTGTTAAAAAAATTCCCGCGTTTTGTGTAGCTCGAATATTAGTCCGTCAGCGGACCTAGTCCTCCTGAGCCAGTAGAATCCGATCCGATATTTTACTTTAGATGCATTTCAGTAGTATCCTTCCATCCCCTCTCCGTTCCTTAAGTGGTATCTTCTCTTTGGGTTTTCAGACTAAACTTTTGTGTGCATATCTCATTTTTCCTATGTATACTAAAAGTGTCCCGTTTATCTAATTTTAATTTATTGTCCTAATAATATTCAATGTGCCTTAGTATTTTCTTCATGTGCCTGTTGAGTCTTCCCTGTTAGGTTCAAATATTCTTCTCAGCAACTCGAACAACTTCAGTCTGTCCGGCTTCTCTTTGTTTTAAAGTATGAAAGTATTATATTTGAACACATTTTGACGATTCAAATTGTAAGTAATGTTCAACTGAATTTTGTACAGACTACAACACTTCCAGAAAGGCTTTGTACGGGAGAAGGACCGCCCTTCACCCTAATGACGTTCATCGAAATTTTCATTTACTGTCTTCAGCCCTGTAGACAGAGGCAGTATTGATACCAACCTACGAGTTCGCAAGACGTCATAACACATAGATAATATACATACCTGCCTCATTGATTGATTTATTTGGTGGTCAGATGTCCTCAGACAATTTCAGTCACTCTTGTATGAAACCTTGTTAAAGTAAACTTTAAAATGAACACATCACCTGCTACCAACGCAACTTTTCTACGTTCTACATACAAACAGAGACTAGAATTAGCGTACAAAGTGAAAGAAATTAGACGTGTGTAAAAGACCACATACAAGTCATGTAAGAGAATGTATTGCAGACTCGTTGATTCAGCTAATATTCTCTTTCTTGTAAGTTACTTCGTCATCAAAGAAAGGTTACACTGAAACTTTTACATAGAAACATATGTTTTAATATTATTTAAAATGATCAATTGCAATGACCATGAATTTCACACTTCAGAGTAGTTACTGCACTTGGATTAAAATTTTAGCCCCACTTTATGCAATCTGAATAAAATAAATCCATATTTTATGGGACATAAATACTTACATGCGTGTCTGTAGCTAGGATATGCTTTTGTTTTTAACTGATACTCTGTTTAACTTAAAAATGTGGAAAGTAAATGCAAGATAATGTCACGTGTCGTGTTACAGATGTCAGTCTGTGGAATGGTACCGCTCACAGAGAAAGGCAAAACAGTGACCGAAACATCGTTAATTGCGCTTTATCATTGCCACCGTAGAAGCATGTGAAGCACGCACAAGAGGCTCTGGAAGAATACGGTGACGTAGCTCCCAGTTCTACTGCAAATAATTTTTACATGTTTTTTTTTCAGACTGCTTTTTACTGCATGGAAATTTTATGATGCTGTCATTAGTGGTAATAAAAGATCTATCCAATCCACACTACTGCCATCTATTACACAGCAAAACCATTTTAAAATATTTGATCTTTTATTTTTTCTATTTGTATTCGTATCCGATTGATAAGCCGAAGTTGGAGACAGCAAGAATCTCCGAAACGTCGGCAGTATGGCCTACATTGTACAAGGTGCCATCACCCGGAAACAGGATTAATATTTAAGATAGCTGTCTTCTATGTTGTTGCACCGTGTAAGGTGGTAGAAATTTATCGACGTTTCAGAGGTGCTTGATATGTTCATCATTAGAACGATCTCCCTGATGATGGAAACAGCAAGTACATCTGTAACGTTATTGTACTTCTACCAGAACACAAAAAACAGCCATCAAACTAGCCGCCGTGAGAACCTGAAATCTCGCAGAAATCACAATATTTAGCGAATAGTGAAAACTCAAAATAAAAACTTGAATTTAACTGTACGTGCCCTTGATTTAAGATTTTTATTTTGCTAGAACTCTGATGACACTGTAAATTTCCGTCTGTCAAATTAATGTCATCAACCTGTCATAACTTGATAACAGATTAGCATCGCCTGTCTCTTCAGCACAACGTCCCTGACAAACCCTGATATATTCCAGGTGTTTTCCAAGTGTTTGAAAATAATTGTGCCCAGAAGCAGTGTTTTTCGACAGGTGGTCCACGAACAGCTATTGGCCAGCTTCTTAATTTATGCAGGTCTTCAAATTGTAGTTGGTATTATATTGGGTATATTTTATCACAGATATAAGCATTAATATTGTTCAGACCAGCTACATTTTCCTAAGCCAGTTTTATTTTCGTTATATAAGGGCAGAAAGAACATCTCTGATAAATTATTGTTTTGGTATCCCGTCGTATGTAATTCCTCGTTGCCAGTGTTCAGTGTCAAGATGGCTACTTTTTAGGTTACAGCGCCATATATTCTGATAGATTATGGAGACAGTAAGATAGTCTGAAACGTTGCTAAACTTCTACGAGACTAAACTCTGCTAGAACCCAAAAGGCAGCCATCTTCGGACTCACCGCCATGAAACCCGCAAATCATATTTAATTTTCAGTGTATATGATAAAGACGTCCCTTAATTTCAGTGTTAGCAGATATTGAAGATTATTGTGAAATGAATGTGACATTTTTATACATGTGATATCCCACATTTACTTGATTAAAGCATTTGTAATAAAAGAAATTTTGTTACTATAGGCTCAAAGGGGTGCAACATCTTATTCAGTATTTGTTTTCAGGTAACATAAGCTCCGTGGTAAAAATGTTGGAACTTACATAACCCTCTACGCTAATTCTTGGTTTTTCTTGCTTGTCACTTGCACACTCAGCTCATTGTCCATTCACTAGAGCAACATGTTTCAGTCTGTGGCCACCATTACATTCAAATTCCTGCTTTTATGTCATTGCTACCAAAAGTCATTTTTGAGTAGTTAGACTCCTGCTTCGTATGTGGGAAGCCCTGGGTTGAAATCGCAGCCTGGAGATTGCCTATCCTGACTGAAGTGTTTGCAGTTTTTCTCAGTCCTTCAAGGTAAATGCTGAGATACTACCTTAAATTATGCATGACCGCTTCCTTCATTTCTCTCTCTTTGTCATCAGTCTTCCGAGTGCTTTGATGAGGTCCTCCATTTTCATCTATCTTGTGCCAGCCTCTTCATTTCCACATATTTTTTTACAGCCCACATCCTCAAAAATCTGCGTCACATATTCCAATCTTTGTCTCCCCTTCAACTGTTCCTTCCATTACCAAATTAACCAATCCTAGGTGTCTCAAAATGTGTCCCACCATCCTACCTCTTCTTCTAGTAACATTTCCTTCGCCTATCCTATTTAAAACCTGCTCATTTCGTACTTTAACAGTCCACTTAATTTTCAATACCCTTCTATAGCACCACATTTCAAAAGCTTCTATCCTTCTTCTTTCTGGCTTTCCCACTGACCATGTTTTGCTTTCTTATAGCACTATGCTCCAAACATATAACTTCAAAAAATCTATCTTAATTCCAGGTCAATGTTTCCTTCATTTACAATTCATTATTCATTGTCATCCTCTCATTCAACATTACATGGTATGAGCTACAGAACCTGCGTCACTGAATAAACTATAAATAAATATGTCATTGCACTGGTGATCATATTGTCTCCTTCTGATGTCAAAAACTAATGATAGAATAATAAGTTTAAAACGTTTCCACTTACTTAGTACAGTGATGATGAATACTGATCATGCAGGGAGCAAGGACCTCTGAAACATTGGTAATCTTCTACCAGACTATACGACGCTACAGCCCAGAGGGCAACCATAATCGCGTTCGTACAAACCGTTTCTGATTTGCTCTCTCCTATGTAGCATGGGTACTAGTATTAAAGAGTCTTTGCCATTTAAATTCCTGAATTTTAAAACCACCTTTGGTTGTTAATTTGATTGTAATAATAGCCGTGATTACCCATCTTCATCCGCACCAAGTATTAACTATTTTCCGCGTTACTTAAATTTAGTCTTCCCTGCCTCTGTCATATTAATTAATTTAAATCCCTCTGAGTTCAATTGCTTCTTCTAAAACAGATTTTAAGCACAATTTCAACATAAATTACATGCTTCTCGTCGATTATTGTTATTTATTTATTTATTTACATATATTTATGGCTCATGAATAAATCAACTGAAATTTTAATTTCTTCCTCCTTTATTTAATATTCGTGTTGTGATATCTAAATATGAAATTCACTGCCACAGATCAGTTCTGCTCTTACATGTGCTCGTAGCAGATGTTCAGAAAGTCCTTATCCAGTAGACAAGTAATTGCAAGTCACCTTAATAATGTGTGAATTTCAGTGACCGTATTCGCTTGTCAGAAGGACTGTATGGACGTGGTACTGAAACCAAACATCATGAGGGCTGGATATTTCTGTGAGGTTAACGACTGTTAGCTTCTCAAGAAGGGATCTGCTCCATATAATTAGATAATTAGCTTTGTTCTTTTATACTGCAATCAGTAGGAGAGCATGATCATTACAACTTTTCTGACATCACCGAAAAAGAAAACAGAAAAACGCGGACAAGTATCCATTCACCTAGAAGAATTTTAAATCGGTATAGCAGCTTTCAAGGGCCGTGAGACCGTGGAGGTTTAGACAGCCTGTTTAATAAAGCCCGAGAATCTAGAGTTTCGTGATCTTTATCTGGCAACCGTCTTTAGCTGTGAATAATTCTCAATAAACATAATTATAAGAGAAAGCTTGCCTTTAATGTGTCCTACAATATGAATCCATAATGTGGCACTTTGACTGGCATAATTGGATCTTAAATGCCTTTTCCAATTAACTTCTCGCATTAAAGCTAATTATTCACATTTCTTTCTTTGTTAGAGTTTTAGTGAATGAAGTGTCTCAGGCTTTTGTCTGCAATTACAGAGCAGTAGAAAGTTCCTTACGCTATTTTCTATCGCATTGTTAAAATCCTCTGTGATTATTAAAGGTCATTGTCACACGCATTATTATGTTTAGTAGACGTCATTGGAGCTAGAGTCTGTATTCCTTATTATCTGTTGGAAGGTGTTTCCTTACCGAATTTCTTTCGTCTGACTCTGTGGAGTACATTCCTTCTTGAGAAGCTAATAGTCGCTCAGCTTGCCAATAAATCAAAGAAATAGGTAACTGAATGAATGTTCGTGCGTCCAGTTAACTTTTTTTACTTCCCGGGTTGAATACTCAGGGCATTTTGGAACGTAAGCAAGTTCAAGGGCGTTGCAAAAACAGAAGAGAAAGGCTGAGGCGAGGCAATGTTGAAGACAAATTACTCTAATGGCACAGGAATATTCACACTACACCACTTTCTCTGAACCACATTTTAACCTAAAAGGAAAAATCGATCAACCTTTAGGACAATAGAAAATGAATATCGGAAGTTATCATTTGTTTCTGTCGCACAGAGAAAGCAGCTGTAGTGTAATGTTATGTTTCAAGTAAATTCATATCCATTAGCATAGACCTATGTAGCTCACGTTCTTAAAATAGTAAATCTACGTAATAATTATTTTGCTTTCACATCACATTGGATGAATATGAAAGTTGAATAAATGAGATGAGGTTTGCAGAACAGTTCTGTTTCTATCAAAATCCTGTCCCGCACGCTGGGGCCTAGTGTTTGAATCATGCGAAACTAACAGTTTAAAGAATTCGCCTCTTAACCCTGTCATGCCTGCCCGCGTATAACAACTCCAAATCGGATGAATGGGTTTTCATGAAAACTTGTCAAAATACTCCAATTTGGTTTGAAATCGGACAATGATAACGGGTGGTTCATGTGAGACCAATGATCTTGTCTCGTGCAGAAGCGAATTAATGCAGAATCCAAAGGTTGCCTTGATCGTCTGCGTGACATAGAGTGGGGAAGTCCCTTGGCAGACTCTCAGTCGAGAGGTGAAATCTCGCGTAATAACGTCATCACCGAGATGCCTTGTCCACGCTAAGGTCATTGACATCCCTGGCATCATTCACCAAATTGTGACGAATGTGTCATAATTCTTGTGCTGTTCCAAAATTTCCTTGGTCGAACAACTTTCTTTCATTTCTCAAAGAAAAATGTAGGTTTTAGATATCACTGTAGAGTACTCTATGTACTTGTGACCTCTCATTCGCTTTTTGAACTAGTCAACCGATTATGTATGGCGTTATGTCACTAGAGGCCAGCCAACCTTGAAGACTTTAATTTCCCTCAAGCATTTATAACGGTATGATGGATGCAGGAGCTTTTGAGGTAAGAGTGACACTGCGGCTTTTCATATAGGGTTCTGAAATTGGGTATGGTAATGGATCTTTTCAAATATGAGACATGTTTCTGGCCACCTTGTAGAATAACCAGAAAATTGG